CGCGTTCTCTCATTCTGGCTATCTTCGCTCTTTTTATAATTTTTTGTTTTCTCTTACAGCCAGGCAGATCGCGTCTCGGTCGATGAACTTCCTGGAACGATCTTGCGATTGCCTCCCGATGCTTTTTTTCCACTTTTGTTTCTTTCTCTCCTTTTCTTCTTGAATCCACGCAATGTCGGACACCGGTGAGGAGCACACCGACAAAAATCGTGGTTCCCCGCGATACATCTTCGGCGCGGAAGGCACCCGCAGACCGAAAAACTTGCGAAGACAACTTATTAGCTTCGTCATGTCTACCCGGCTGTTTGTTCCTCTGTCTGGACTGGTCGCGGACGGCTGGCCAATTAACGGATTTTCGCGAAAATCTGTGCCCGACTGTTTAGCAGATTTCGCTACGGACGACCACGCGGAGAATGATCTCCGGTTGAAACGTCACAGCCTACTGTCTGGTTAACGCGGTACACGTTTAAATTGTTTTCGGTCGTTTAACGAAATGATTCTGGATCTATTTTTGGACACCGGTCCCGTTTTATTGCAAAAACTTATCTTCGATACGAGTTCTCGGATTTAAAAACAATGTTTCTGTAATGCTTTCGGATTTATAATGATAACGAATAATTGTTTAATATACCAAAAAAATTGTATCGATCGTTACGGTGATTACAGGAATTTTCATGGATAAAGTGAATATTTTTAAAACGTGTATTCCTCCTTTTCAAAATTTTAATGACTGGGAGATTATTTATCGGGATCTTAAAATTCTTTTAAAATTTTTGTAAATTAATTATAATGGATGCCAGTGCGATAATGCTTCAATAAAATTCGTTTTAATAAGTTAAATTATTTATCGCTGAGGAATTGTAATTGAAAAATTGTAGTGTGACTAGAATTATAAAAGTTGTTTAGGAAAGAATTATTAAAGCATTTTTCAAAATATTTTTTCGACGTTTAAATAAATTGACAAAACGTGAAACAAATTTGCAATATTTTATAACAAATACTCTATTCAGTATGATTTTAGGTATACTTATTTAACATAAAATTACAACACAAATTATTAAAAAACACATTATTTAAACATAAATTGAGTTAATCGTCTATTACCGATCTTTTTAAAAAACTTTTTATGATTCTTTACTGCATTTGCATGCATAATATTTATGCATACATTATAGTATAAAATACCTTATTAAGAGAAAAACGTAAAGTCTTTAGGATTAATTTAATAGGATATCTTACAAGATATTTATATTTTTTTCTATTTTCCATCAATTTCCTTTGAGCGAACAAAGACTAAGGAGATCAATTATTGAAACAGGAAAAAAAGAGCCTCTGTGAGAGGCGAAGAGAGACCGAAAGATTTACTTACAAGGTTGTTCGTAGAACATGTGCACGGCCAAGATCTGTTATCCCTGGAGAAAGGATAACGTAACGGGCGGAAGATCAAGATGCTTGGAAGAATAGAGTGCAGAGAAGAATACAGAAGAATGAGAACGTTGGAGAATTTATTTTCTAAGAAAGAAGACCTTATTGTTCTTTCCCAGAAAATAACGCTATGAAACTGCAGGCGGGACTGTATATTCCTCAATGACTCGTAAAAATGGCGTGCCGGTGAAGTTATAGTTTGCAGATTTCGAAAAATCAATGCAAGATCCGCATATAGATTGAATATTACAGAACTGAGAAATAATGTTAATACGAACAACGAATTGGTAATTTATATCAAAAAGCCCTCTATTTACATTCTCACTTCAACTTTCACAAATTAATTCTTTCGGTTGAAGAAAACGAAAAGATTATGTGACAATTTTCCTTTTCACTCTCTTACATTCAGTGCCATTGTTCAAAAGAATAATAGAGAAAAAACATCAGTTAATCTAAATTGTAAAAAAATTGTGGATTATTATTTGATTTTATCAAGAATAGTGTACACAGCAGCCGGAACTTATTCTTAACCAGTATTTCAAAAATAAGGAGGATTATGAGACAGTGCACTTTGCATATAATTGCACTGCTCCAACATTGTTGCCGGTAATAGAGGTTGCAATAAAAGAAACTGTGCTACTTATGCAGGTATTTTCATTCGAAAGTATCGCAGAATGAAGACTCGTACGACCATGATTCTGTTATTCCCTGACGAACTCTTGTTTAGGCATAACTTCGCTCGGTGACTTTATGGTACCTGTCAGAAGAATTCGGCACTGTGCAAACCAGACAACAATAAGGTACATTCCGATGCAAAGCAGCGGCAGTCTGGCAACTCGGCCGTTCACCAATGAACTGAACTTTCTCTCTCCCCTTTTTTCTTCTTCTCTCCTTCGTTTTCGTCCTTCACCCTTTTCTACTTGCCTCTCTTCCATCGCAGACCCGTATTTCTTTCTCTTGCGCAGGAACCGCGTCGGAAATGCTATCCTGTCTGCGTTTAGTTCTTACGGTGCTCCCGTAAAAAGAAGAAACGCTATGTTTTCATTGAGACGATGGCTTTGATGACTTTTCGAAACTTTTTAACTGGTCTGCGGAGTTAATTATTGTCGCTGAAACGATGGATCCATTTCTGTGGATTTATTTAAATCGTGCGTTTTATTGGAGGACTGTCTAATACTCGGTATAATAAAGACTGAAGAAATTTAATGGGATTTCTGTCACATGAAACCTACTAGACATGAAAAATTGTTGTTCTATTTGGATGTTTTTGAATCAGTGCTTATATTTTATAATTTTGTGAATAACCAGAACCTGCTCATGATATTTGTAATACTGTAGTTATCTGCATATTGATTATTTATTTGATATCTATGAATATCTCTATGATGTTAGTTACGTTTATATACTGCTTTTAGATTTCATTAATTTCGGAGTATTAATGAAATGATTTCAGGACATGTGAATATATGATAACTTCAAAATGACTATTGCGCACGTGAACAATCGTTTCTTCAATGAGTTGTGCCATTAAGGAATTTGGTTGTTCCATTGAAATATCATAAAGTATGTTCTAGACAGGTGAGTCTGTTATCCATTGATTCCATTTAATTTTACGAGGAACATTCCATATCACGTATCCGATTTCCTGCGTTTAATCGCTCTTTCGCGCGAGAAGCAACAGGTGTCGCCGAAAGAAAGCAGAAAACAGTTGAAAACCACAGGCGGTTTCACGAACGATAATTCAATCTTTTGACGGTGCATTTCCTTAAAGAGACTATTTTTAACGTTTCGACGTGGCTGCCTCATATATAAACACGTATTAAGAGAAATCAAATTCATTAACAAAATCAATTTAAAATAAAATGGTTATAATGGCTACCAAAGAAATCTCCGTAAACTGCTCAAATAATTTTCAGACTTCTCAACAATTTATAGTCTATGAATCACACTAAACTTCAATCGAATATAATAAACCTGTTATCATATCTTTAATCCAAAGCAATAAATCCGAGTTCTAAGTTATTATATATTATATTACATTATCAATATTTAAATTCAGACATGTATACAGTCAATACGCAATGTTATATTAATACATAAATGCAACATCATCCATCTCGAATCCTTCCAAACCGATCACCAAAATCCACTCGCCCAAACCATCTCAACATCATCGCCGAGAAAAATCCGCACAGGGAACAGAGGCACGTAAACAAGAAACAAGAGCAGTCCAAAAAAGGAGGCGCAAAAAAAGTCGTAAGTGACTAAGAGAAAGAAATCAATAAAACGATGATCCTCGGTCAACAAGGGCCAAAGCGAGCTCTCCTTTCTTCCTACCCTCTTCTCACGATTCCCTTCGGAACCGAGCACCGATTCTACAATCACCCCACCCGCCCATCC